TTAATGGACACTCATCCTGCCCTCCCTAAGATCATCAGTTCACAAGCTCTCCTGTGGCTGGTCCCAGAGGCATGTTAGGTTAGCAGAAGAGCTAGTGATTTACCACAACTATTGGAAAAAAGATTTGATGGTGGAAACATGGAAGGGGAAGCAAACAAAAATGCACAGAAAATACCAACTGATACAGGCAGGTAACATTTACTGAGTAGGCGTTTTATGGGTACTGATCCATATATTCTCACATAACCTTCAAAATAAGCACTAGCATTAGCCTCTTCAAACAGATGGAGCAACTGAGGCACGGAGATGTGAACTAATGTCATGGCTCAGTTTGTGACTAGCTGAAGCTCGACTGTGTATCCCGGCAGGCCTCAGACCCACCCCTCACCACCACGTAACGTCTGACCACTAGGTGTGGGCACCGCACTGGCCTTTTAAAGAGGAAGACAACCTCTTCCTTTAATGCTTCCTCCCACTCTTCTTCCAGGAAAGGAGAAGAGGTGAAACGTCAATTCACTTCCTCTAGTCAAAAGAGAAGAGCGAGATTCTACATTATTACTGAGTTTCAGATATTTCTTCTCCCTTTTGTCAGCGGTCAGCTGGAAAATCAAGAACTGGCCCAGTGAACAGGTGCATGAGAAGGCGCTCAACCTCTGTAGTCACAGGGAAATGCAAATCAAAGCCATAGCAGGCCAGCACCTCATGCCTGGTAGGATGGTTATCACCAAAATGATATGAGATAACAAATGCCCATAAGAATGTAAAGAAAGGGAGCCCTCATCCACTGTGGGTAGGAATGAGAAGTATTACAGCTACTGTGAAAAAGAGCATGCAGGTTGCTCAAAAATTAAAAATAGAACCACTACATGACCCTGAAATTACACTTCTGGGTATTTATCCAAAAGCACTGGAAGCGGGATCTCGGAGAAACATCTGCACCCCCATGTTCACTGCGACATGATTCACGACAGCCAAGACATAGACACAGTCTCAGTGTCACAGAGGAATGGATAAAGAAGGTGCAGTGGCCCTGACTGGTGTGACTCAGTGGGTTGGCTGTTGTCTGGCAAATCCAAAGGCAGCCAGCTTGATTCCCAGCCAGGGCACGTGCTTGGGCCGCGGGCCAGGTCCCCAGTTGCAGGTTTGTAGGAGGCAACCAATTGATGTTTCTCTCTCACACATCAATGTTTCTCTCCCCCCATTCCCTCTTTCTATAAATAAATAAACAAACAAATAAATAAATTCTTTTAAAAAAGATGTGGTGTATAAAGACAATGGAATACTATTCTTCAGTCATAAAAATGAAGGAAATCCTGTCATTTGCAAAAACATGGGTAAACCTTAAGGCCATTATGCTACATGAAGTCAGTCAGTCAGAAAAAGACAAATATTACATGATTCCATTTACGTGTGGAATCTAAAAAAGCTGCAATCACAGAAACAGAGACTGGAACGGTGGTTGCCAGCAGACTGTGGGTTAAAAGGGAAAATGTTGGTCACAGGGTGCAAATCCCGCATGTAAGATGGATGCTCCTCTAAGGTCCAGCAGGGCGACTGTAGCTGACGACACTGTGTCGCACACCTGAAAGGTGCTAAGAGAGTAGATCATTATTGTTCTCACCACCACCGCAACCTGTAAGCTATGTGAAGTCAAGTGTGTACGAACTAACCTTATTGTGGTAATCATTTTGCAATGCATATGAGTATCAAATCATTATACTGTACACGTTTTACTCAGCATCATATGTCAGTTACTATCTCAATAAAGCTGGGCAAAAACCATCAGGATGCTGCCAGCTGAAGTCCCTGCCTTGCATTTGGAGCCTTGTCCCCTGATGAGGATGGCCCCTGATTCCTGCAGCTCTCCAGCAGATCTTGCAGCCTAAGGCCTTATATACTGACTTTTCTGTCCTAGGAATCCCAGTGCAAGCTCAGCCGAGCATGCTGAGGGGCAAGGGCAGCATAGGACAGCATGGGAAAAGAGCTGAGCCTGCTCTCCACGAATTAGCCAGCATCCTGGTCTCTCTGGGACCTCAATTTTCTGCCTCTGACCCTAGTTCTATTATGGGCTGTGGTTCTATGAGGGGATATGGAGTACAGAGAAAGCAGTGGGTGCGGTGGAGTACCTGGATCTGAGTTCTAGTGGCCCCCTCCCCTCAAGGACCTTGGTCAGTCACCACCTCCCTGCTCAGCTGTGAAATGAGGATAAAGCACCTGCTTTGGCTCAAAGGAAAGAGCTACTCTGGTTGCTTGCACTCCGAGCTGGGTGGCTGAGACACAGGCAGAGGCAGAACACTTCCATCTGCCCTTCTCTCTGACCTCAGCCTGCCCCAGCAGCCAGGACACCGATGACATGTGTAGCGCCCAGTTCTGCCCCGTGGCCCCCAGCTCCCTGCTCTGGCCCAGAGCCCCACAGACCATCCGAGCATAGCTGCTGGCACCAGCCCCCTAGGCCTGGGCCCTGGGGAGACGCCGGGATGTTTACTTTTGGTTTCCCTATAACTCCTGTTTCCAAGAGCTCCCCTCCAAAGGGAAAGGGAGGGAGGTGGCCACAAATGGCCACATCCAAGGACAGCCCAGGCTGGAGCAGAGCTTTGGGCCACACAGGCGGCGGGCTCTGAGGGCTGGCCATGGCACATCTGCCATCCCCTCCCCTCCGGCATGCCCCACCTCACTCCTGAGAGCTCCCCTCTTTTGAATCAGCCCCCTTAAGGCAGTGAAGTAGAATCACAGTAAAAATTCTGCCTGGCACACAGAACAGGGGATGCAGAAGAGCTACCGAGGGTCAGGAGGACCCCTGAGTGGTCCCGAATGACCAGGTGCTAGGAAGGGGAGGAGATCTGGGGCAAAACCCTACTGACAAGTGGACTGGGTGAGTACATACCAATGCAAACACCACCTACTAGTGCCCGAGGCCAGTTCTGGCCCAGGGGCATGTGTCCGTCTGCCTCTGTCCCACCCGAACACACATACATACACACAGACGGGCAGACAGATACACCCCCAGCCTCTTCCCATCCTCTCCCCTACATTCAAAGCCCTGTGGCTCCCAGGGAAGGACCCTGACCTAGGAGTCAGGAGACCCAGGTTCCAGTTCCAGCTCCACCACTGCCTACTCTTACATCCTTCATCTGTCCAGCCCTCAGCTGTTTACTCTGTAAAATAAAAATATTGCACTGGATCAGTATTTCCCAAAGTATGTTTTTGCGGTTCGATGTTCAGGAAAAAAGATCGAGTGATCAGCTATGTTTGAAAACGTCTGGCATTACCAGCACAGGCACCCCCCTCCCCCATTTCTGGGGATCCATGTTGCAACTTGGAATCACACCCCTCACTTTGTCTCTATCCCTGGACACATGAGAGATGAACAATACACATTCCAACAGTTCCCTGGAACCTGAAACATTGAAAGTCATCCTTAGAAATGCACCGAGTATCACTTGCAAGTTACAGTTGATAAATTATTCTCAGGAATGAGCCAACTGGAGGTAAGAAAGGATGACCCTCGATTCCTGAGACCCTTTGAATAGCATCAAATAAGAGCCTCTGGAAGCTCCCCAGAGAAGGTAAACACGCGGATTATGCCTCAGGCGAGGCAGAAATTCAGATTCCTGTGTGCCAACACTGCTTGCAAGCCAAAGACGGACTATGCTATACATTTTCTCTCATTAGTTATGAATGCCTGTCAACTTCAAAGGTGCTGGCACTTGTACAAGCTCCAGTACCCAATTTCCACCAGCCTCAGGATTTTTACCTGAATTGTTTGCATAAAACCTATCTCATCACATTGTCTGTGTTGCCACATTTGTTTGCCCTGAAAAATGATTCTGTACACACACCTGGCTGGCTTGGGTGCTGAGAATTCAAAGATACACGAGAAATCATGCCAGGCCTTAGGAGATGAAGCTTCAACCTGAGAAGACAGATAGGTAAATAAGTATTTTTGATGGAAAGGGATCAGGTCTGCCATGATAAAGGCACTTAAAAATGCATGGGGGAGTCCAGGGAGGGACCCAAAGGCTCTGCCTGCAGACTTGGGTCCAGCTGCACCCAACAGCCACAAGTGGCTGGTTGTGAAGCAGAAATGAGTGATTCGGGCGAGTGAGAGCATCTAGACACAGCAAGGTCCTGCATAGTCCCAGAGACCTTTAAGTGCCTTGCATTTGGGGGGGAATGGTAAGTGGGAGTACGTCATAGGGAGGACGTGTGTTCAGGGGCTGGAGGAGGTGAAAGATGAGCCTGAGGAGATCATTCTGGGCCACATTCTCATGGTTGGCGTGTGAAGTTAAGGAGTTTGGTCTTTCTCCTGGACACAAAGGAGGAGCAAGCAGAGACTTGTGTTGAAGGGAGTGGCGTGATCAGGTCTGTTTGAGAAAAGCAAGTGGAAGAGGCATGAGAATGCGCTCAGACAGGTGCTAACCCATCCACCAGCGGTGCTCCTGGAAAAAGTTCCATGCAGGTAAAAATCTGAAAGGGAAATTGGAGGAGGGAAGGCAAGAAGGGCAGTTAGTGGAGCTATTTCAATCAATCAAACAAGAGATGATGGACATGGAGACTTAGATGGCAGACTAAAGATACATTTCAGAAGCAAGATGACCCAATGTGCAGGTAAAGGGGTGCACCGGTGGAGTGAAAAGCAGGGGAATGACTTTTTCACTTGAAAGTATCGAATGAGAGCCCTAGGTTTCTGGCTTCAACAACTGTACCATTGGTGTCCCCCATAAACTGAGATGACATTGCAGGAAAAGCCCATCTAGGTGGGGAATAAGGAATCTAGACATGTTGAGCTTACGGTAACTGCAGGAAATTTATTGGGAAATATCAAGCGAGCAGCAGTGAATGTGTGTGTTTTCCAGGAGAGAGATAGACTGGAGTGGTCATGCTGGTCCGTGCACGGATGGCCTCAACTCCTAGGCAGAACACGCCCGTTCAGTCTCCACCCGTCCGCGGGCCCAGAGCCAACACAGAGTCTGAGACGGATGATACAGGCACCCCGCGAACACGTGCCTACTAAATATTTGAAAAACGTGCATTCAAGAGAGGCATTTCTGGTGGCCCGGGAATCCACAGCGTAACATGGGCCTGCTGACCGGGACGGGGCAGCTGCCGCACTCATCTCCTGACCCAGAGTTCCCACGCCCTGCAATCTGTTCGGAAGATCGTCTGCTCTTGCACAACATCGTGAGTTTCTGTTCCCCAGCAATCTTTCTCTCATGGGTTGTTTCCACACCTTTCCTGGGTTGGAAGAGTAACTGGTTTAAGAGATTCCCATTACTGGTGAACTTCCTGTATAAGTGAAGTACATAAGAGATTGTGAATGAAGGTGACAAATGACCTGATAATGTAAACTATCTTACTGTAATCAGACTTTGCATTGGATAAAGAATTGATCTTATTTGAAGAAAAAAAAACAATTGCTGCAGAGGAGTATGGGAAAGCAGACAGGAACATTGGGGGAAGTTTGGTCAGTCACGAGACAGGCATTCTCTTAGTTCTGGAAGATTCTGAAGTTCTGCTTCCTCGAGTGGTCTCAGAACAGGGCCCTTGCTACGGGATCCCACGCCCTGGGCAGGACTCACGGGGAGGGGACTTCCTCCTGGTCTCTCCCAGGAGCCGAGCTCCGGGTCCACAGGAACCTGCCGGGCACCAGGGGAGCGGCAGGGAGTGCACCGGGTCGGGGGATTCTGTGGGTAAGAAGAAAGCCCTCCTAATGACCTGCAGTTGTGAGGTCAGCCTGCCTCTCTGAGGGCCCAACGGAGACTCCCCTGTAAGAAGAAGACATGTCACTTCATTCACCCGCCAGGCCAGAGACACGCAGGAAACTGAGAGCACGTGTCACTCCCATGTCTGCTCAGATAAGAAATGGTCAGAGCTGGAGGGAACACGATGTGTTGTCAGAGAGGAACTCACGCTGTTCACAGGATGCAACATGTTTGTGGGTGGAAGTTCATGTCGCCAACAACTGATAAAGCATTTCAAGATCTCTGAGCAAACAGCTTGTACGGTTAAGTGAACTAGAGGGAAACTTATTTTAATATTGGACATTTTGGTTGCTGAAAGGGAGAGAAAACTGCGTTTTACCAGATCAGTGTTTGTTAAACAAAGGGGCTTGGAATTTCCTTGGAGTCAAAACACAGGTTCCTTGACCCCGCTATATTTTGTTTTTAAAAAAATGTGAGTGGATTGAGGGGGCAGGGAGAACTTTTTCTAATTTTTGCCTTGAGTTACATAAAGTATTTGCATTCAAATGTAGGGTCCATCATTTCAGAAATCCCCTTGAGCTGAAGTCTCAAAGGAAATGTTCAGTCAGAACTGGGGGCACCTACCCAGCTGCCCACTTCAGCGGCAGGAACCTGGAGTCAAATCTACTTAAGGGAGGAGTAAGTATTTCTCCTCTCTTTTTTTCTAGATTGAGTATTTTTATAGTCTTCATTGCTATATATTTTCTTACAAATTAAGGCCACTTGTTTATAACGGGCTTTTTTTTTAACTTAATGTGTGTGTTCACACATCCTCTGGTTGATAATAAGGGATTGATACAATTTTGCATTAGTCCCATCTCTAGGTGCTCACACTGAGGAAGCCCCGAGCCCTCCCCCGAAGCCCGTCTGGGACAACATTAGTGCTTACGGGCAGGGGCGGTGTGTCTCCAACACCAAGAGCTCACATGTGCTCACATAAACTCTGCAGTCTCTTAACTGGACATGAGGCCAAAGGGCAGGCTTGCTCCCCGCCTCTTCTGATCCCGTTTCTGTCTGTACAATGTAACGGGCTTGTCCCGAAAGGGACACAGCAGGGAGGGAACACTGAAGTGGCACAGAGCAAAAAGGGTGGGCCTTTCCTTCTCGTCTTGTACACGCATTGGTCAAGATGAGTCCATCTTTGATGCCAATGCATCGCACAGCTGGGCGCAGTGCAGTTGTGGGATCTCCCAGGATCCAGCAAGTAAACGCCGACATCTTCTCCACCCCCACCCCCCCCCCCGCACCATCAGCACTGCAGGCTCCCGGCAACCACCGTTACTGAACCAGAACCTGGAGGCAGCAGCGTCCGCCTGAGTTGACCGAGTCTCTCCCATCAACCTTCAAAACAGGGCAGGGGTAGGAGGCCCTTCCCTTTCTATCACTCTAACCCAAAATCTGACCCATAATTTCACAACTCAAGAAAACAGAATGACCGATCCAAGTAACCTAAAAAAGATACTAACGCCCTGGCCGGGTGATCCAGTCGGTTGGAGTGCCTTTCTGTACACCGAAAGGTTGTGGGTTCGATCCCCAGTTGGGGAGGGTACAAGGGGCAACCAGTGATGTTTCTCTCTCTTTCTCTCTATTTCCCCCCTTTTTCTCTCTCTAACATCAACAAAAATATATCCTCAGGTGAGGATTTAAAAAAAAGGATACCAAGTCACCACTGTGGCTTCATACTGATGATAAACACTATCAGTCACACAACCACGTGGACCCGAACAGTCCGCAGACTCACCTGTCACCTTCCCTAACTTATGGGGAGACTGGATCCCCTTTCCCAGTTGTATGACTGTCTGTGCATCCTTTTGAATTACTAAGCTACTTTGCTGATTCCAAAATAGTTGCCCTCTCTACCCTCTCCTTATTCAATTCCCACCCCAAATACAAAGATTATATCATATCACACATTGAGATACTTCGATCCTTGTAGACCTAACAAAAATAGATTTGCTATATCCAGGCATCACATATATAGCAGACAGCAAGCCACTCACTAAATGATTAACCTGCCTTTGGTTTAATTCTGTGTCCAGGCAGGACAGGGCAGGCTCCGGGTTGCAGAGGTTCAAGAGATAACCTAAATCAAAGATAGTTTTAGGAGCTCATCAGTACAGAATCTTCCCTCTCCTCCAGACCTCCCATCTTGCCTGCATCCCTACAGCCCGGGAGGTATTACAGAGATCATGTACATTCAGGTTGCATGATGACAATAATCATTTACCAGAATTTATGGCAGATTCAAAAGGAGCACCCAGGGATCTGATTCCTCCTTGGGGTGCCCTAACTCTCAGGAGGTAGACTAGCTCAAAACACACTCTGTTTCTTTTGAAAACATGTATGCTTCCTGGGATATGTAAAAAAAGGGCCTCCTGACACATAGTAGGTACTAAGGAAATACCAGTTAAAACTATTCTGGATCTCTGGGTCCTTTGTTCTCCTTGGTCCACTGTTTCAACAAGGCTTTTTATGGGCTAAATAGGTGCATCGTTCATGTTTTATCACACCGGAGAGGCGCTGTAGGAAATGAAACTCTCTTGGGCTGAAGTAGGAACCCACACATAATCACACGCTCTGAGCAGATGCTCTACCATGATGTCCTGCCATTGATGCACAGGAATAATAGAAAAGCAATCAAATATCCTTAAGTATTTTCATTGTCCCAGCAGGGACCTAGTTCAGCTACTGCTTTCGTGTGGCGACACTGAGAATCGAGGCACAAACAAGGCCTTTCTAAATCCAGTAAGTGATTACCCTTCACTGAAGAAAGTGACTGGAGTGCTTGCACAGAAAAATGTTCTGTAACTTATAAACTTATGTGTTTCACGGCACTGTCTGTTTTGATGTAGACTCTTCAATGACTGAGATTCGAGTGTGCTTTCTCCTCTGTTGCACCTGGCACAGTAGCATAGGCACTTGGCACAAGCAAATTGGGGGGCCATTGCTTGACAAGGATGCCAACACTGACCTCATGTCCAGGTAAGGGTCCCAGATGTGTTGAGAGTAGAATACCCCTCCCAGAGATTGGGTCAGAGCATAGATAGAGCCCCCAAGCTTGCATCAGCAAGTAACAAACTTCCTTCGCCTTTGGATAGAGAGTGAACACCAATGGCAGGTGGTGAAGACAGTCCTCTGGGCAGCCCGGAGGAACCAGCAAGGTGATACAGAAGAATTCACCAAGGACATGAATGAGGCGATAACACTGAAATGGCTACAATTCACAGGAGGGAGCCTGCTCTCTCCACACGCCATCACCCAGAAAACCCCTGTGATGCAGACGTTCTTCTCTGTCGGGAGAAAGGCACCTGCCTCTGCTCGGGTTGTTGGGTCATAAATCTCCTCCTTCTGCGGCAGCTTTGGAGCCGCCCCCTCAGTCACTGAAGGGCCTCCCAGAAAGGGAAGTCCTGTTCCCTCCAGATGGAAACCGCATCTGTGGGAGGAGTCTTTTAACCCAGAAGGCCAACGACCATGAGTTAGCAGAGCTGTGAACTGTAGGACCCCCTGGAGAATGCCCTGGCCTCCATTCCTGGAAGTTCAAAGCCGAATTTCCTGAGCCGGAACCTCGTCACAGCTGAGTTCAGTTCTTAAAGGGTTGACAAGTGTTTCAGCAACCCTGAAGGGCCTTTCAGATTCTGCTTAGCACCCTGCATTCAGGCAATTAAAAGCAGTTGCCACGGAACCCAAGTGTGATCTGCAAATGTGGTTTTTTCCTCTTTTCTTTTTTTTTCCCAAACAGACATCATTCTCCCCACTGCTTGCGACTGGCAAGGGCAGAAGTGCTGAGCTTCCCCTGAGGCTGAGAGGTCCCACAGGGCAGAAGCTGTGTGTTGATAATCCAATCTCCCTGCTGACAGGGACATTGTAGGGGCCCACTGACTGCTGAAAAAATTCAATCCAAACTCCGCAAATAACTTCAGAGCTTCATCGAAGCATTTATCCTCAGTGTCCTAGGTTTACTAAAGTACTCGCAGGAAAGAAAATACTCTGCTTTCCTCTACCAATGAGGAAGTTAATAGAGATAGATAAAAGAGACACAAGAAAAATGCAAAGAAAAGAAAAGGAAAACAAAATTCCAGGTTTGAAAACACAGTGGGACAGGTGGCCTTTGGGGCATGGAGGACGGGATCAACCCGAACTGTGAGTGAACTCCGGATGCCACCACAGGACGTCAGCATCAGAATCTCTGAGGATAAGGACCTAAACGTCTTTGTTTTTAAACACGCTCCCCTCCCGGTTTCTAAGTTTGAGCAACACTCATCTCCAGAGGGAGGTTATACCTAGGACTAGCTCAAACCAGGAGCTCTGGGAATAAATTCAGCCCTTCCCCCCAATTTCCCCACACTCTCCTCACTCCCCGTCCCCCTCTTCCTTGGTCTTACCAGGCCGTCTCCCTGTTTAGGACCGCGGCTCCTCCTCTCCAGCCCTTCGCAGGGCATCTGTCTCAGGCCCATGTGTGAGGAGGGGGCCCAACACAGACCACATTCCCCAGACTCCCCTGATTCTCGGGGGGTGCTGAGCCTTGGCAGAACAGGGCAGGCAGGCATGAGACTACACCCGTCATGCAGGTATTAGAGGTCCTGGATTTTCCCCAAACTGGCTACATGATTCACAGAGTCCAAAACAAAGTAAAACTGCCCTTGTTCAATAAGCAGGGAGATTTGGAGGTGGGGCCTTTGGAGGAAGGGGGGGGTGCATAGTTTTAGATAAGGTCACGAGGATAGGGCCCCATGAAGAGATCAGGGCCTTCGTAAGATGAGGAAGAGACAAGAGCTCTCTCTCTCCGGCATTTGAGGACACAATGAGAAGGCTGCTGTCTGAAAGTCGAAAAGAGAGTTAGACACCAGAAGCTGAATCTGCTGGCACCTTGACCTTGGACTTCCCAAGCCTCCATAATCATGAGGGATACATGTCTATGGTATTTTGCTACAACAGCCCCAACTGACTAACAAACCCTGCGTTACTCATTTTGTGCTTAAACAAGAGTCTGCTTTCTGCATTTGAATCCTGACAAGTATATGGAAAGTCCTCTCTTAATGTTGTCAGTGGGTGCTTGGAAACTGCAACTTTAAGCAAAACAAAGTATAATGAAAACAATTTTACCATAGGCTGATAGAAACAAAAATTAAATTCCTACAGCACATTTCTGGTCACAAAAATATCAACACACTTCTAAATCACCAAAACACTTCTGATATTAAACATTAAGTTGTGAGCTACATGTACATTTAAGAAAGATGAACAAAAACAAGTGAGACAATGATTTTCTAACACGCCGATTCCAGTTCAGGGTGACAGGGAGTCACAGACTATCCTACTGGTCCTGGTGGCTCAGGGAACAAGGCAGGACCCCACCCCAACGGGTCTCCCTTCCATCGCAGGGCCACTCACACAGGGACACTGAAGCCACGCCGGTTCGCCTCACATGCACACCCCTGGGATGTGGGAGCGAACCAGAGTCCTCAGAGAAAACCCACACAGACGCGGGGAGAACGTGCCAACTCCACACAGAAAGTGGTCCTGGCCAGAAGTCAATTTTTTTCCTCATCAACATTATAATGAAACAACATTGAACAAACACCATTATTCAAGGGCCTACTCTTTCCTATTCTCCTCCCACCGCCCTCGGTCCTGGGCCCCTGGGCACGGCCGCAGTGCAGCTGCCTTGCTGGTCAGTTATGTCCTGGAGCCTCTCAAACACAGCAGGCGCGTGAGGACAAGAGCCACAGGTTCAGCCTCCTGGAAATGAAAGGTTTTTACCAGGAAAGCCTGTGGACAACCTGCTTATAACCTAAACTAGCCTTTAAAAGTTCCTGGTCATGGGAAACATTTCTGCATCTGACACTTTGGGAAACGCCCGAGTTCAGTGACTCCCTGAAAATGAGAAGAGCAAAAAAACGCAGAGTCCATCATCGCTGACTTCATTGGTGGGTGGTTCCACCTCCCCTCCAGCTCCTGCCTCTGTGGGTTGGCAGCCTGGACTGCAAGGCAGTCATAGGCAAAAAAAAACAACAACTGGGATTAGCATGTCCCTAAGTGTCACTTCAAAATTAGTTGCCTATAAAAACAAGGATTACACCTACAGACTTAAGCATGGCTGAGCAAAACAAACTTGTTTGGTTATTAAAAAAATCATTACATCTTGAAATGTTTGGAGTAGAGTTGCTAGGCGGTGGCCGTTGTTTTATTTTTTTCTGTCCCCTTCCTCCCAAATCACATTAATGACGTTTTGACCCGGCCAAGGCTCCTCCCTGTAATATGAACACCATTGGGCTCACGGCATGAGTTCACCTCTCATAACATCACACACAAAACTTCACTCCTATGTTTTAATCAGAGAAGAGATTGCAAATTCCCACCTAGTACGACAACCGCCCAACCAAAGTAATTACCAGCCGAGTAGCCCAAGCTTGGGAAGACAGACAGATCCTGCAGATCTAGATTTGGGGTGAGAAGGGGATAAAGTCTAAAGACTACAAGGACTTTATTTTAAAGAAATATTCAGAGCTAGAAGATGAGGAAAAGTTTTGGCAAGCTGATTAGGTATAGAGGTAAAAGACAGAAGGCAGTTTCAATGCCTGTTGCATTTCCACTTCATTCATTCATTTATTCACTCATTCAATAAATGTTTATTGAGTGCCTTCTATGTGCCTAGTACTATGCTTGTCCTGTAGATGCAGAAATACATACCAGTCAGGCCTGGTGTTTAACAAGCTTCAGTCCAAAGGGAGACAGATAATAAACAAATAAACACATAATCATATAGTGTAGAAACACTACATAGTAATCTAAAATGGGTTTGGTAAATTGCTGCCAGAGGTCCACTACTTGTTTTTGCATATAAAGTTTTATTGGAATGCAGTTCGCCCACTCATTTACGCAATGTCTATTGCTACCCTTGCATTATACCAGCAGACTGGCGTAGTCACCTGTATGGCCTGCAAAGTCTAAAACATTTACTAATGGGCACTTCACAGAAGATGTTTACTGACGTCTGGTATAAGATAATAAAATGGAGGCCCTAATTTAGGCTGGAGTTTTGGAAGGTTTCCTGGAGGAAGTGATGTTTAAGAAGCAACCGAACGATGAGGAGAAATAAGCCTGGCAGAAAGAAGAGAGAGGTTTCCAGCGGAAGGAACTCTGTGGGTGAACAGCAAAGGTGGGAAAGTGCTGGGCGTGTGAAGGTGTGTCAGGGGCGAAGCAAACATGATGGAGAGACAGTAGCAGCTCCAGGATTCCCACCGATACAGTAGCGGTAGCTGCAGGAGTGCCAGCAGTGGCCAGTAGACACTGAGTGACAACTACGGGCCAGGCTATGTTCTAAGTAAGTGTTACATACATTAACACTCTGTTCCTTAAAGGGCCTCCTGGGTTCGGTATGTTTAGAAATGATGGGCTTGCCACTACATCTGCATAACACTTCACTTAATGTTGAGAAGATGTCAGCTGTCACATGAGAAAACCTAGGGGGTGGGGCTGGGCTGACAGACCCTTGGGAGGACCAGGTCCCTGCCCACTCACCCCAACAAGGTGGCACCCTGGCAATGCCACTTTGCAGAGCGAACTGACATCTACCATGGTTCCTAAAACAAGGCAATTTCACCCCTTCAATTAGGTCAATTACATACTAACATTCAAAAGAAAGATACATCTTGGCTGGTAAATTATGAACCCTATGGGAGATTTCAGACCTTAACTCTATACTGGGAAATACTGGAGAGTAAGAAAATTCTAATGCTCACAATAAGAGAAAAGGATAGATCCCAGAAAAGAAAAGAACAGATGACAGCTAACGTTATTCTCCTTGCCAAATTCTGGAGAGATTATTAAGTGGGAGTTCTATGAACATTCAGAAAACATTGACATGATGACTCCGAGCTGCTCCAGTCCTCTCCTGGCAGGTTACCCGGTTGACGGGGCAGAAAAGGGCACTGAGAGGGTCTGTTAAGTTCAAGCAGGGTATCGACCAAGAGTTTTTCATATATCCTGTTGATAAGGGGGAGACAATGGGAATTTTTAAGGTGCCACGGTGCAGAGGTACCGCTGTCTGCACACTGTCACACCAGAGAGAACCCTCACTGAGGTCGGCAGGGCTGGTCTTTGTGGCTCCCCCTCCAGGGGACTGAAGCACACCCACAGGAGAACAAGCAAGGGCTATGTACTCAGAGCTTACTAGGGCAAGAGAGTTGGCGAGCAACAACTGCATTTGGCAGAGACTCAAAGATAGGCAGAAGGGTGGGAAAGCTCTGTAGTAAAAAAGGGGGGAGGTTGTTGGCATAGGGAAAGCAGAAGGCGGTGCCTACTAGAAGCTAGCACCCCTGTGGTTGGTTTGGAGAACATGCTGGGCTTTATCAGGCTGCTCCTAAGTTGGAAACAAAGATAAAAATTAGCCAAGTGTCAGCAACTGATCGAGTCCTGGCTAAGTAGGGCCAACTGCCACAGGGGTTACTGTTTGGATCCCCGGACTGGTTGCTGAAATTGGGGGTCAGAGCCCTAGTGTAACACAGGGCCAGGCCACTGTCCATCTGCACAGTCAGTCTCCCACCGAGCACTGTTCTGTGTCCAACATGGGAGAACAGGTGTTCAGGTCCGTTGCCTTGAAAGTGGCACAAAGAACTTTTAGAAAGTAGAGAAAACTAAGCAATTA